AAGGCCAATAAAAACATATATGATAAAATTCTTTTGAAAACTGTAAGTACACTGCATGAACATTTATAACCATCAAGCCTCTGCCACCCACATTCCCACCAATTCTCCTAAAACCTAGAGGAGAAAACAATAACCATTACAGATGTTATCCAACTGTTGCACTGAAGCCTTGCTTAACTGAAATACTCAGGTCAAGTGCTTCAGTTAATATTTAACACAACATTCATGTCACTGTTTTGAAAAACCTTCTTAGAGTCTTTCTCTCCTTAGAAAATGCATAACTTATATTTTGCCAAGGGATTTTTCATGATGAATCAACATTTTGATTATGTATCCTTCCAGTGCCGACTTAAGCTTATATAATCTATGTTCTATCTTGACCTCAAAAGCCCAAATTTTCTTGTTTACATTTTTTTGAGGGGAGGTAGGGGAAATTATTTCACAGTCAATGGAAGCAAGTTTAGTTTATCCAAATGGAGGTCTCTAGTTATAGTGTCCTCCAAAAGCTTATAAATTGTTTGGAACTTGAAATGTCACTCTGTCTAGCAAAAAATAATAAGGTATGAATCATAAGTAAGTTCTCTGGCTTGTCTGCCAAATCCTATAATAAAAATGAAATATATCCGTTAATCTTCTAACGCACAAATATTTTTCAATTGTATTTATTATGCTCAGAAACAATACTGCCTATAAAGCTATTTAAATTTTAAATATTGGTATCTGGAAAAGAAAAAAATAGGGAAAAGAAGGAGTTGGCAAACAAAAATTTCTGTACTTATTGGCCTCTAGTTCTTGGTTATCCATGGTGTTTAACGCACCCACAGGGCCATGACAGTTACTGCTCAGAGTCACGATGAAGACATTATGGGGACCAGAGTTGATAAAAGTGAAATAGAAGAAAAATAAGAAGGATGTTGGAAAAGTGTGTTGTGTTCCCAAGAAAGAGGCCACATGGATACAAACAGCTTGGCTATAAACAGTATGATAGGAGTAGCAGAACATACCTCAAGGCAAAGGAGAAGAATCAGAAAACATCTGTAAGGCTCCCCATGGCCAAATGCAGGGTGACATGGCTGAGTTGCCCAAGCAGTTGCCCAAGCAGAAGTCTTGGCATAAATGGGGGAGGTTATTTTGGCTTTTGTAGATTTACTGGCCTGACCACACCTGAGTTGTATGCACCAAAGGGAAAGCTCAGGGTTACATTTCTGACTCTGAACCCAAATTAACACAGGCTTAGCAGGGCTCTGCTTAGGCATGCAGGCTCTCATTCTTAGGCATGCAGGCTCTCATTCATCCTGTTCATTCATGACCTCTTCTATCCCTGTCATCCAAGTAAAATACTATCCCAGTTTTTTTATCTTACCCCTGCAATTAGAGCCAAGTGCCAAGCATATTTGGATTCCTCACATTCTGAGTTCATAACTGAGTGTTCTGTCTTCCGGCTTGCCTTTTCTCAACACCAAGTATGATTCTAACCAGAACTAGGGTATGTGCATTCAACCAACAAATTGCTGATGAATGTGAGAGACTGACAGAACCATCCAAAACACAAAATCCTACCAGGACTCCTCTGTCCTTCCAGCAAACCAGAGCACACAAAACAAATGCCTTTACAGACAAAGTTTAGACTGTTCTAGCTTGAAGACAGCTTGGTCATCTTGAAATTAAATGCTAAAACTATGGCTAGGCAGATACCAAATCCAAAATTCAATGGGTAATGTCAATTCAAAGCCAATAAAGGGAGTTATTCTGAACACCCGTCAAGCTGCAGTCTAGTGGGAAGGGGAAGGAAGCTAAGAGAAGGAACCTGCACACCCATGTCTCAGTGGATCAAGCTCAACTTCAGTTTCTCAGAAAGAATTCTTTTATGGGAAGGTCAAAATAGTCTCCAATCACCTCTATCAGCAGCAAAGCATGTGTCATATGTGTAGCACATCTCTAGCTCCATAATTATAGGAGATGGTTACACACTCATAAAGGTAATGCATTAGCAGGTGTAACAGGAACATGCATTGCAATATACTTGAAAGCTACCAGTCCTTCTAAAACTATAATGGGGAACAAGGGTATTTCAGATAAACACCTAAGCCCAACTTTACAAGTGGCTATTTCAGTTCGAACTTAATGCGGAACCAAGCAAGGAAAGGCATTCCACACCTAATACTGTTTTACTGTGGGTTGTAAATACCTACCCAAAGCTTCATGAGTTAAATGCCTTGGTCCTTAGGGCAGTGCCATTGGGAGGTGGTGGATTTGGGAAATTACCTCATGGGAGATTCTTGGATCATGGATGGCATGCACTCAGAGAGGTCTTTGGGACCCTGGGCTCCATCTATGTTTGCTTTACCAATCCCTGTTCCCAATCACAGCCACCCACTGTTCTCATCAGAGGCCCAAAGCAATGCAACCTCTGTAAAAATGATTTCACTCAGTCTTTTCTCTTTGCAACTTAACTGCCAACATTGTTCACCATACTCGGGGAAAGCTAACCCACATGTCCTAAAGGGCAATGAGAGGAGTGCTTGTCTTTTCTTCTTGCTCTCTTCTTAGTCCTGTTGAGGACCTAAGCAGAATCATCACCAATGCCCAGGGCCAAGGTCCTGGGCAAGCATCACCAGGGCAATTATGGCTAGGACAAGATCCGCCTTTCTTCATTTACTCATATGCAAGTATTCCCTTTGCATTAATAAGAGAAAATCAGAGAGACGCGTAAAATGGCATCGCCACTGTTTCCATCGCCCCTCTGCAAGGTAACCCTATGATTGTGCTGCTGGATTAAAATCCTGTGGCTAGGGAGTGGGGGAGCCTCCCCTGATCCAAACCCCGGAATGCAATTAGTCCAACCTGATTCTTCAGCTTTGTACAAAGTGTGCTGATACTCAATCCAAAAAAACAGAAACAAGATAAATCCGATAATTATAGTTGTCTGTAGAAAACACATCCTAGAGCTTTTTGATGACAGTTGTCGAATTCCTTTGAGGGCCTCAGATGGATGGCTATTAAAGTATGGGAGGAAAAGAAAAGAACAAAACAAAACAAAAACAAAAACAAAAACAAAAAAAACAAAAAAAAAAAAAAACAGGTTTCACTTTCAGTTCAGCCCTGAACTAAGAGCTTCAATGATAAACCAAACACCCTGTATGTTTATATTTTATGCCTCACGGAAGTCCACCAAAAGATCTGAGAAAGGGCTGGAAGGATGGTGTAGCAGGTCTTGCAAAGGACCCAGGTTCGGTTCCCAGCACCCACATGGTGGCTCACAACCATCTGTAAACTATAGTTCCAAGGGATCTAAAACCCTCTTCTGGCCTCTGTGGATACAAGGCACACACATATACAAACATATACATAGGCCAAATACTCCTCCACATAAATTAAAACTATCACAATCTTTTTAAATGATCTGGGACAGGGATTCTCTTTATTCAATATATGTGTTACATTAAAAAAATTTCATACATTCAACTCTACTAAGTATTCATAGCTGATCTGCTTGAGGAAATTCTAGGGTATATCTACTACAGTTTCTCAGAGGGGCATCATCAGACCCATTTACAATGATAGACCGCCATCCAACCATCTGACAACAGGTGTCAAAGACTGAAACCTACGTCCTATACAAAAGCTATAAAACAGAATTCAGCAACTGGTAACCCTTTAAAAACTTACAGTAAGTATATAAACAAGTTTTACATTAGAATTTCTTAAATAGTGTGTTTAGTGAGTATTTTATAGCTTGTTAAGTACCTAAGGGCACCGATACTCAGTAATTTAAGTAGTCATGTAACACCTAAGGTCTTCCAAAAAAACAAAAAACAAAAGACTCACCGGACTAAAACTAAATAAATGCCCATCGATACTGTATGAGTGACATATGATACAAAATTATACCCTAAGACACAGCCTGTGGTTTGGGTGACTTCTCCTTTGAACCTCAGACTTATTTTTAAGAGCTAAGGATATGACACCATCTCTTAGTCTAGAATTCTTGTCCTTAAAGTCCTAAGGTGTCTGCACAGAACATTAAATACAGCAGGAATGGAAATGATTGCAAAAAGGAGACTTCGAACATCAGAAAGGAGGTTTTTCAGCAAAACACTGCTCAAGTTGTAAGGCGTGGCAAAGTATTAGGATGCACTATTCACAGAAAGTTGTGGTGTACTTCTCGCCCACTGCTCCATTTGAGAGCCAGAGAAACTATGTGCAACAGAGTCCGTGCTCCCCTTTTAACACAACAAAACTGATCTTGGGAAGAATAATGCAAGTCCCCCAAGAACTTAGGAGGACCACCGAGACTTAACAATGAAGATACTGAGTGAAAACCAGCGTTCTGTTTCCAAAAGTTGGCTGTCGATCTTGCAACTGTCCTAACAAAATAGCAGAGAAGTATAGCAGGCAGCCGTGCCAGCAACACAAACAGTGCAGCCTGTGGTTAAAAGACTGAGCAATGAATCCCCAGGCTGTTTCCCATTGACATATTGTGAATATTGAGCGGGCTTCTAAGCAGCTGCAAGAAAATACCCAGACAAAACCAAACCAAGTAGTTTTCTAAAGTTCCCGATTCTTTAACAAACTGTGATAAATCCTTTCAACTGGAATGAATTCATGTCATGCTGTGAACACCTGCACCCTGAACCAGGCCACCCAAACGGTTACAAACATCGCTGAACTTTCCAAAGACTCGTTGGCCATTTTTATTATTATTATTATTATTTATTATTATTATTATTATTATTATTATTATTATTATTATTATTATTATTATTATTTTCCTTTAGATAACCCTGTATTCTCTGCATGGAGGAGAGGGTATTTCAAGGTGACTATTTTAGCAGCTTGCTCCCCCCCCCCCCCCAGGGACAAAGGGCAAGAGACCCTGCAGGTCACCGCGTGCTGGCACAGGAGGCGCTCATGCTCTCTCAGGCACCTGGGTGCTGACCTTGCTCTCTGCTCTCCCTTGCTCCCTTCCTGGGTGTCGGTCCTGACGAGCGCCCACCTACCAGCGACAACACTTTGTAAGTGTTGGGGTCCTTGGCTGTGCGGCCGCGCTCCCCCTTCTCCAGCGGCTCCTCCCCTAGGTCCATGGGTGCCAGCAGCGAGGCTGCAGCTGGTGACTCGGGCTCGCAGCCGTTCCCTGCCGGGCCATGCCGGGCCCCGTGCCCTGCCTGGTCGCCGTCGCGCTCCATCGCTCCGCTCTGCCCCCTCGGGCCGAGCTTTAAGAGGCTCGCGGCCCCGCCCCGCCCCGCGCCGCCCCCGCTGGACCCTCGGCTCCCGGCCCTCGGCCAGCGCTCCTGCCCGAGCTGCTCAACGCCCCGGATTATTTGGCTTCCTGTCTGATTTCGGGCCCTGTGCGCGTGGGCTATTTTGGGTCCCTGACGTGGGCGTGTCTTTAACTTCCACCCCAAGCCCTCTCCCCGCCCGCGACCCTGGCACCCTAAGAGCCCTTGCAGGAATCGCCCCGCGTGGCCTCGCCGCGAGGGCTGGGCTGGAATGGCTGTGTGATCTGTTGAGGGCATGAGATCATGGAACCCCAAAATAGAGCCCTGAGAGGATGCAGCGGCCCCGAGGTGGAGACTGGAGGCTTCTACCAGCCCTGCCGGTTTCTCAGGTGAAATGCAAATGAGCGCGTGGAGAGGAGACTTTCTTTTTCTCCCAGGAGCACAAAGGAGAATCCCCTGCTTGGAGCTACTAAACGTGGGACAAAGTGTTTACACACCACTCATGGGTTTCATAAACACACATATAGAACATGTAGCTTCTGGGGCTGCTATCTTAATATATTTAATAGTTATTGCAGACTTGCTGAGGCTTCCAGGCATCTGTGTCATGCTCCCTCCAGGTCAGCACTTTCAGTTGGTGAGCAATATCAAGAATTGTCAGTATGTAGCTACATCTGTTTTACTTTTGAAGCAGAACATGAGCAGAAGACTATAAATCTTGATGGCTTTTGTTCCTCCTTTGATTCAACTTTTACAAGTCTCCTCCCATCAGCAAAACCACACCTGGCAGTCCCCCAAGGCAGAAAAGCATTGTGACCAATCACAGTGACTAAGGAAAATCCTTCTTTCATAAATCACCTTTTAATTTCCTTCTTACATTTACATATGAAAATGGATGTTTAGAGGGTGTTTATTGGGTCTGTCCCCTTTAAAACTGTCGACACTGGACTGGACTGTGGAGGTGAATGGCAGGCAGGTGAAGGGCTCTCTAATCAAACTTGGGGATCTGAGGGAAAAACGCCAAACCCAAGTAAAAAACCTTGTATCCTGAGTTTGTAATCCCAAAGCTGGGAGGCAAAGACAGGTGGATCTTGGGGTATGGGTGGACAGCCAGCAAAGTCTACTCATTAAGTACTAGGTGAGCAGCCCTCCAGAAGAATGACATCCAAGGTAGTTTCTGCCTCAGCTTTCATATATGGATGCAGGTGCAAATGTGAACACACACACATACACACACAATAAATAAAAATAAATTAAAACAATGTGGAGACTTTCATCTTATAGTGACTTCATTGATTCAGGCGTTCGATAATGAATCTTTCAATGTTTTGAATGCCACATATATCAAAAATCGGTAAACTATAACTCTCTCAAAGGGGGTCAGTCAAACAAGGGGGTAGAGTAGGATGAACACATTAGAGAGAAGGATCAACATATAGGTATTCAAGCCACCCATATATGTTAGAGCCACACATAGACTATATTGAGATGATTAACAGTAGAAGAAACAGCCACCCCTGAAAGCAATTTTTAATTAATTTACTTTTATTATTGTCACTACTGAGTCAGCTTACAAACCCCTCATGTGAAACAGGTTTTCACTACTTCATACTCAAAGGTATTTTTTTTCTTTTTTTACCCCAATCTTGGTTCCAATTTTTTCTTTAACTGTTTCCAGAAAACAGATTGAAGAGCAAAATTTTACTCTACTGAAACTCACCAAATGCATGCCCTAATTTCTAAAAAGTGCTCAACAGAGACTTTCCAAAGTGGTGTCAAGTCTGAAGAAAGAATGTAATCATTGTATTGTCTGCAACCCAAAGCAACCAGTGACTTTTATGCTGTCCTCATTGGAAAAGTCAATGTAATTTGCAAGGTCACAATGTCTCAAGGATCTGGGGACCACCAGGAACAATAAGTGAATTAGGCAGGCAGCCCCCTATAGACATGGGGGGAAATGAGCAAGTTGGCCTGTCTGTAACAGTTGCAACAATTACTCAAGGATTAAATGCCTAAGGTAGAGATTCATTTTTTTAATAAGTAGGACATTAAAATATTTTTGAGAATTCTCTAGATTGTAAAATATGGTGCACACCAAAAAAAGAAAAAGAAAAAAAGAAAGAAAAGTTTTTAAACACTTTAAAAGGACAAACACAATGTAACACATCTACAGGGTGGACCTGGGAGACAGGCCACCAGGATGTGGCTTCTGCCTGTGATGATGCCTCGGCCTGGACCAGCTGGGTTTTTATGGGTAGTTGTAGAAACCCAATTAAAGTTCTAAAATCAGAAGAATACAACCATGTCCATCATGCCACTCACGTTGTTTAGTCACAGACATGGCTAGGCCTTTGATGAAGTCTTGCCTCAGTCTTGTTTATTCTGAGTGGTCAGGACCACAGCATCTCATTCCAAAGTACAATAAGATCAGAGGGCACAAGACAGAAGCACGGCTTCTCTGGGTACACGAAGGGTGAAAAATTGGTCTCTGGCCTCTAGTCAGAAATCACCTGCTTCCAGGAGCCACATAGCAAAGATGATAAGAATTGAAACGATTTTTATTTTATTATAGCATGTGAGTATTTATATTGAAAGACCCCCACTATGCTTATTGCCTGTTTAAATTGCTCTTGCTAATTTGCCAAGGTCAAGTTATGAGAAAAGTACAGGAGGGAACCAGGTGCTGCTCTCATCCAACGCCAACCAGATATCTGTGGTCTGCAGCTTGGACTAAAGCAAGGTCAGCAGGACAGTGTCCAGTATGCTGAGATAGTCATAACTGAATTCTTTGTATTCTTTGTGCCCAACCCAAATAACCAACTGTCCTTGGTTAACTTCAACTGCTACATTTAGATGAAACAATGAAATCCCTGTAACCATGCTTCTGCTTCTGTAAGCCTGCTTCTTGCTACACCAACCTTATATAAACTGCCTATGCTTTAACCAGGCACGCTCTCTCAGTCTCTCAAAAGACTGGGGCGTCCATAGGTACCTGTGTGTAAACAATAAATAACCTCTTGCACTTGCATCCAGTGGTCCGGTCTCGTCTCTTGGGGGCAAGGGCCTTCCCCCTGACAGGCTCCAAACTCTTGGGGTCTCTGGGGGTCTTTCATTGGAGGTCCCACCGAGACTGGAGACCCTTCCCCCTGGAGACTGACACTGACACCCACAGGGAGGTAAGCTGGCCAGCGCTTAATTTCTGTTCTTTGTTGTCTTGTTCATATGTCTTTTACTTGTTGCTTGTTGCGCAGTGATCAGTAATCGGCTAGGCTAGTCGAGTCTGTAGGCGGCTTGAGAAGGAGCTGAAGAGCTCGGACTTCCACCCGCCACCCTGGGAGACGTCTCAGGGATCTGGGGTGCCCGATTTTTCGGGGCCCACAACGAGTCCCGGGGATTCGTGGTTTTGGAGGGGCCAGAGGGGGCTTAAGACCCTCTGTGCCTCCAACTCAGTATCTGGTTTCGGTTTTACGCCGGGTCGCGCAGCGCGTCTCTGTGCCGGCTGTCTGTGTGTTCTGTTTGCCTTGTCTATTTACTTGATTCTTTATTTTGAAAAAGACATGGGACAATCTGTAACTACCCCTTTGAGTCTGACCCTAGGTCACTGGAGCGAAGTTCAGGGCCGAGTGCACAACCAGTCAATGGACGTAAAGAAAAAGAGATGGCAAAACCTCTGTGCTTCTGAATGGCCGACATTTAACGTCGGCTGGCCCCGTGATGGGACTTTCAAACTTGGTATTATCTTGCAGGTGAAGGAACGAGTCTTCGATGCCGGGCCCCACGGACGCCCTGACGAGGTGGCCTATATTGTCACCTGGGAAAATCTGGCGTCTGACCCACCCTCTTGGGTGGCTCCCTTTGTCACCCCCAAACCCCCTTCCAAATCTCTCCCCAAGACTGATGTGGCCCCACTTTCACAGGGCCACACTGCCCCCCCTTTGCCTTCTTCTGTACCACTCATTCCCTCTCAGGCACCTGCCAAATCTCGATTATATCCTGTCCTCAAGAAGGAGAAAACCCCTCACTCCAAATCTATTCTTCCTGCTGATGAGTCTGATCTTATAGATTTACTTTCAGAAGACGGAACCACCCCCCCCTTATCAGCCCCCTACCCAGGGCACTGTAGGTGGCGGTGATGCCCGGCATAGGGGTCCGGACAAACCAGACAGTACCAGTACCACTCCTGCCCTGGACTACAGACAAGAAGAGACTACTGCAGACTCCCCAGTAGCTGGCAGACTCCGTGGTCGAAGGGAGACAGCCACAGAAGGAACCTCCCGAGCCTTTCCCCTGCGCCAGACTGCTGGACCAGGAGGCCAATTTCAATACTGGCCTTTCTCGGCATCCGACCTCTATAATTGGAAATCTAACAACCCCTCCTTCTCCAAAGACCCTGTAGCTCTCTCTAATCTAATTGAACCCATCCTAATAACCCATCAACCCACTTGGGATGACTGCCAACAGCTTTTGCAGGTCCTTCTAACCTCAGAAGAAAAACAATGTGTCTTCCTGGAGGCGCAAAAGAACGTCTTAGGAGATGATGGGAGACCCACTCACTTACCTAATGAAATTGAGGAAGCTTTTCCCCTAAATCGTCCTGACTGGGACTTCAATACTGCTGCAGGTAGGGGACTCCTGCGCCTTTATCGCCAGTTACTCATAGCGGGCCTCCGCGGTGCTGGACGCCGTCCCACGAATTTGGCTCAGGTAAGACAGATAACCCAGGGACCAGAGGAAACTCCGACTGCATTTTTGGAGAGGCTAAAGGAAGCCTACCGTATGTATACACCCTTTGATCCTGATAGTAACGAGCAAAGGGACAATGTTTCTATGGCTTTCATTTGGCAGTCGGCTCCAGATATTAGGACTAAGTTGCAGAGATTAGATAATATACAAGATTATAGCCTGCAGGATCTCGTAAAGGAAGCAAAAAAGATCTTTAATAAGAGAGAAACACCTGAGGAAAAAGAAGAAAGACTTAGAAAGTTGCAGGAGGAAAGAGAGGACAAGTTAAAAAAGGAACTAGAAGAGAGGGATCGTAGAAACCGGAAAGAATTAAACAAAATCCTGGCCACTGTAGCTCAGAATAATCATAGTGCAGGAAGTCAGGAAAGGAAGGGAGAAGGAAGGAGGCCCAGGGTAGATCGAGACCAGTGT